CTGGCCAATCCAACGTAGCTGATCGTGGATAATGGTAGCCTCGAGGCTTCTATAGTTGGTGTCACCGTGAATACTGGCATTTGTTCCGTTGCCTTCCAGCGAACTCGGAAGATGGAACACACACACACACACACACACACACACACACACAGTATGTGGACATAAATAAGAGGAACTGCAGGGAGAAACGATGGTGCTGATGAATGGTATGTGAGGCTTGGTACTGATAGACATGAAAGTATCCTCCCCACCACCTACGTACATCATTTAACAGAACTCTTTAAGTTTTATCACCCTGCTGATGACCGCTCAGCCCTAGTAACTACAGTACAGCAAAAGGCACCAATCACTATCTGTCTCTCTTCGTCCATCTGCCGTGTATCTCTGTCAACATTATAAATGACGTCATAAGTGATATTGTCTGGAAGGCCCAGACGAGTCTTCAATGTGTATAAGAACTTCACTCGACCTTTACATGGCGGCGGTCCACACGTTCATTATTTACTAACTGCTGGCAGGCTCTCCACAAGTCTGGCTCTCCTTGACATAAGGCTTGGCATACGGTCGTCTGGCAGAGCTTCATCATCGCCAATACAAGAAAGTTTAGGTGAACGTTTCTCCGGTGTAATTTCTATGATCGTGTCAATGAAGTGGAGAGAAACGGCAGGCTCTGTTGAAGACTTGTGCTAGCAGTGTTTAGTAGTGCGGGAAGAATGTTTTTGATTGATTGAGGGGGGGGGGAGGAGGGGATGGGGGGGGGGAGGAGAGGTCACGTTAGGGGCAGGGTAAGTTAAACTAGGTTAGGTTAAGTTAGGTTAGATTAGAGTTAGGGTAGATTAGGTTAGGTTACAGTTGGCGTAGATAAGGTTAGGTTAAAAGTAGGGTTAAGTAGGTTAGACCAGTTTAGGTGTAGGATGGGGTGGGGCAGCTAAGGTTAAGCTTGGCGAAAGGTAAGCTAAGATAACTTAGTTCAGGTAAGAGCAGGGGACGTGCGCGCAGACACTTCGGCTATAAACAACCGAGATCGATACTGACCACTGAAGTAAATGTCAGGCAATAAAATCGAGGTCGCTGATATACCTCCGACACCTCTGGACCAGGTGAAACTGGACAATGACCAGCCAGAGTGGGTCCCGTAAAGACAGTGATCACTTGAGAAAGAAATGTGGCCTTAAAATCACATTTAACTCAAGTTATCCCCCTTTTTCCAGGGTCCAGTATAACCTGAATGGGCTAAATGCGTCTTGATATCGTTGTGAACAGTTTAAGCACGTTCCAGATATGCCTCAATTGGTCGAGTTGATTTTCTCGGGTCATTGAAGGTGCCACTCTCCTGAAGGTGTCGTGACAATGTTTACAACCATCGACTTTAACACCCAGTATGTCTTGTTCCCCGGTTATATGATCCTTTACTAACCTTGTGACATCACTCAGGACCCTTACCTCTCATACACCCACAGCATACTTTCCTGAACGACCTCACTCCTCCTGGTGGGAATCATTCACAGTCGGTCATGACCCACAACAGAGGTTTGGAAAGTTTCTATCTTGTCGACGCCGACACTGACATGATGATGGAAAAGTGACACAGCAGATACTGGGGTCTCTGGGTTTTCCTCTAAACTAACCTAACCTTGCTTCTCCCACCAAACCTTTTCCCCAGTCACAGTAGATCTGGTTCGTCGCCCTACAGCCTCTCACCCACCGCTCCAACACCTGGAGTCTACCTAGCTAATTCCCTGAACAAAGTGAGGCCTCACTTAGATTACGCGGTTCAGTTCTGGTCACCGTACTATAGATTGGATATGGAATCCCTAGAAAGCATTAGGAACCTTGAGTATAGAGACAGATTAAAGCATCTGAATTTGCACTCCAACGAGAGATATAGAGTGAGGTGTATAAATGGAAGTCAGAGTTAAACAAATGTGATATAACAAAGGTACTCAAATTATCCAATCAGGAGCCAACTCGTAGCAATGGATTTAAATTAGACAAATTTAGATTTAGGCGCGAGATAGGTAAACACTGGTTTGGAAATAGAGTTGTGGATGAGTGAAACAAGTTACCGAACATCATCATTAACTCGAAAACGCTGGGTAGCTTCAAATATAGGTTGGATGGATATATGAGCAATAGGGGTTGGGTGTAAATGGGGGCTGCCTAGTATGGACCAATAGGCCCGTTGCAGTTTCTCCATTCTTATGTTCTTTTGTATGTAAGAACAGAGCAGAGATTCTCAAAAGATATTTACATTGTTATTTTCCTTTTACTAGAGGTGAGAAGACACGTCAAGTCTCAGGGCAGTTTTGATGCTATTTTAATTTATTACCTTGTCTACGCTTCACGGAGCCTGTTAGGAGAAAGAATTAACGTATGAAATTTTGAAAATACGGAACGATCCTTATCTGGATTTTGTATTTTTTTTTGTCACGTTGCATAATATTTCTAAAACATTTGATTGGAGGCGCATATGTAAATTTTCCACTTATCTGTTGTAGGTGTGAAGACAGGGAAATCTGGCTTGAAACTAATGCTATAGTTTACTGTTTATCACTTAACATATCCATAAGTGGAACGCGAAGTACTTTGCGATATTCAGGTAGAAATAATATTGACTAATTCACCTCTTCCTTAACGGAGCAATATGATGTTACTTTATCTCTCTATATATTATATAGTTTCTGAACTAGACCAGCTAATTATGATGTAAGATGAATACACTTCCAGGGCAAAATATAACTTCCGGCTCCACCTCAATGTTTAGAAGTAAATAAACAGGAAGTGCTTGTTTCTATACTGTTGGTCCTCAGTAAAGACCTGAAACTGTTGTAGGTCTTATGAAGGAAACCTCTCACTGACACACAACTTAAAGAGTAATTACCTATTTGATTCTGAATAACTTGACACGAGTGGACCTGACTCTTTTGATAAAAAGAAACAGTACAGCATAAACACCACCGAGTTGTTCTCCCAGTCTCCCTTACTGACAGTGCTGGTGGGTCAGTGTATATTACTGTATAGTGCTGAAGGTTTCCCTGTCAGAAACATCCGCTATCAGGGAAGCAGCTTTTAAATTTCTTTATATTGCTTAACTAATTATAGACTGATGCAGCAGATAGATTACAGGCAGACAAATTATAAGGCAAACAGGTGGGCGGGTAATCTTTAATTACCTCTGGGTATAGGGACCCATCCTCACCCGCTAAGAGGGCGCTGAGAAGCCCGAAGTATAACTCTGTAACTGTGGGTTGATAATAAGAAGGGCATCCCGACGCAAAATCAACTTCAAATTTGCACATTAGGAACACCATGCCACCAGGTAATCACGGCTAACCCACTGTAGAAAATGACCATAGAATGGCGATGAAGATGATGAGACAAGCATACAGTTTAATAAACAGAGGCAAAAATATTAACATACACAGTGTGCGTGTGTATATATATATATATATATATATATATATATATATATATATATATATATATATATATATATATATATATATATATATATATATATATATATATATATATATAATGTGTATGTGTGTGTAAACAACAAAAATCACCTCTGAGTGCCAGGTATCGAACACGGACCACCACAAATGGTAGGCAGGAAGCTTATCCACTAGATCACGATGGGCTAAAAAGCTATCCCACCTTAACTCCTCTGTTGAAGCTCAGGTTCCCTGCCCACCATTGTCAGTGTTGAAGGGATGGGGCAGCCCGCCTACACTCGGACCACAGACAGATTTTAAACGAGCTTCAAGCACACCAGTGTTATAAATATATCAGAAACTGTAATGTACACAGGTAATTATTGTTTACTTTATTTCTCTGTGTACATTACAGTTTCTGATATATGAAGCTCGTTGAGAAAAATAAATAAAAGAATTATGTGCGCGTCACATCACTCACCAGCTATGCCACACACTCGTTCCCATACTGGACTTGTATACTTAATAAAGTGAACGGTCACATGACTTCAATAAATGAACAAAAATGTGGGAGATTCTAAAGATTATAAACGTCACTCAAATGCCACAGGATCTCATTTGGATGTGATTTGGCGCGAGATAAAATTAATTAATCATTGCAGCTCTCTCAAATTAATTTCTTTATATTCAACAGATTCTTCTCTATGTTCTAATTGGTGGTTTATGTTTGTGTGCTTAGTATGCCTTTGATGCTGTAAAAATTATTTATAGCTTCGGAGGTTACATAATACAGATCTGTTACCTTTACTTGTCTCTGTTTCATGTTGGGTGGATCAAAGAGTTACTGAGACTCAAAGAATGAAAAAAAAAATAATAGGAGCAGCTGTGTAACACAAAGTGTAGAGAATGACGGGCGAGTGTTAAGACAAGTGAGTAAATGGATCCATATATACAGTATAGTACATGTTCATATAACCAACTGGCAGCAGCAACAGAGTGAATCTTAACATCTAAACTAATTCACAACGCTTCATATCAGTTCAGTGTTTTTTGAGTGGTCAGACTTGTTCCCTCTATCACTTCCGACACGATTCCGCCATTCATGATCCGAAATTACTTAATGTGATACCTCTAAAGTGAAAGTGGTTCCCATAGGCCTGACTACCCATTACGGACAGTGAGGAACAGGGCACCATATACTAAACCTTCGGTAGAGTGTCTAGCGCTGCACTCGACCTCCTTCACTTCCTCAACTCTGGATCGAGTGACCCGGGATCAAACCAGCAATCCTCAAAATAATCAGCAGTTGCACTCCTCTCAAACCTCTAAGCGCAAGTCCAAGATTCTCTGAAAAAAAATATTTGGCTTTTTCCACCAGAGAGGTAGAAAGAAAAACGGAAATCAAAGCTTTCGTACTTTACTCGAGAGCCCGACAGAAAGACCAAAGTCCAAGATACCCTCAAGAAAACATTGGACACTTTACCTGAGAGGCTGACGCAGAGGGTCCAGATGCCGCCGTGGAGAGGGACGAGATAGATCACCCTTGATGTGTGCCTCCTGAACCTGGCGGCCCGTGGTGAGCGAGAGTTGGGGCCCGCGTTGTACAAGCGTTGGTCCGAGTCCTCTGACCGCCGTAGTTTCATGGGCTGGTGCAACTGTATGACCACCTGCGGGGAGAAGGTGGGTTAAACAAGAGAGGTAGAGCACGAGAGAGAGAGAGTATTTTTATTGCATTATCATCTTTATTAAAAGAGTGTAAAGACACAGAGGGACAAATACAACTGATGGCAAATGAAATAAAGTTTTTCTTGTAATCACAACGTTTCTTCTTTGGGAGATAATAAACGAAATACGTTTAACCAAGAGAAATGTTTGACTACATGACTGAAAGGTTTAGCTGACACGACTTCCTCTGTAATGGAAGGAAGCAGCAGGAATCTTTTTACTTTAGTAACTTGGGTACCAGAAACGTTTGACTTAATTAACAAAAAAATGAATTAGATAACAGTAACGCATGACGTGAGTAACAAACGTTTGCTTTAAGTCGTAAAAACGATTGACTTAGGAGGGGCTTGGCTTGAGCAACAACGACGCTTAATCCAAGCAACGTAGGCGCTTGACTCAAGTAGGTAACAGAAAAGTCCGACCCGGGTAAATGAAACGTTAGCCAGACTTGCGTCACTCAGGTAAAAAAAACAAAAAAAAAACACTAACTCAGAGTTAGGAAGTGTGTAGAGTCATATAACACAAAACAATTTCAGTGTTTGACTAAGTCAAAATCTTATCTAAAGACTCCAGTATAAATTTTCGCCAACCTGCCTTAAAGTGACTGATGTGTAGGTGACCCCACCCGGCAGCAGGGAATGTATAGGACATCTTAGGCCAGGAGGCAGCAGTCAATATTGTCTAGGACTCTAGATATTCGAAGTTCAAGCGTTTAGAACCTTTTATACTGGGGGGGGGGGGTTCTATCTAAGACGTTTCAGATCTGAATGCATGAGAATAAAACGTTTTAAACCCGTACGTATAAATCTAAGACTTTTAAACTAAGATATTTTCAATCTAAGACCGTTTAGACTTGGATATATTATTTACAGCTCTCTCAATAGTTGTAACTTCCTTCTCACAAACGTACACCTCTCAAATACTGCTCTAGTGCAATCAATTCACAAAGTTCATCATAGATTTTAACTCCACTAGCAGAAAGCCATCTGTTGCGTAACTTAGTGACAGTGTGACCATATTTGATATATGACTGATCGGGCAATTTGAATGTATTTCTAAACTTATCTCTATATGACTCTGCTGTCAACCGGTAAGATTTCAAAATGGCTTTCTTGACCACAGAATACTCGTTTTGCTGAGAGCTGGTTAGGGACAAGTAAATGGAACGGTCTTTGCCCACAAGGACAGACTGGATCAGCAAGGGCCAATACTGTACTGCTGAGACCAGGAAAGAGTTGTGGCAATCTGCTCAAATTGGATGAAAAACTCTCCTGATCATGTTCATCAAATTTTGGCACAGACTTCGTCACTTTAATTACATAAAATTTGACGTCACCCGACCCCAGAGTAGCTCTCCTATCCAACAGCTCTAAATGGAATTCCTTTTCTCTTTCCCTGTCCTCCCTTTCTCTTTCCCTGTCCTCCCTTTCTCTTTCTCTGTCCTCCATTTCTTTTTCCTACAACCTTAACTTCATTTCCCACCCCAGCTTCTCTCTTTATAACTGCAACTATGTTAACTTTACTGACGGATCTTCCTCCATCTCACACAGTTGGAACGCAGACTCATCCAAAATTGACTTTTCCACCAAACTTCTAATTACAGCATCTTTGGCAGTTGCCTTTTTCCAAATTTGACTTAATCTCTACTTTATAAAGCTTAGCCAACGAAACCCAATCATCTTTACGAATGGTACTATACTCCAACCTTAACACTGAAGGTTCAGCAATGAACTTAGCTAAATCAATAGACTTCATTTTAAACAGATATGGCAACTTGTACCCAAAATAATTCGCAAAATACACCCCTGATGATTTTATCTTAATTTTACTTAATTTTGACTAAATTCTCCCGGACGCAGGCCCCCATTTTGTTATGCCATAACTTAGCAATTTGAATTACGTTAAAGATGAATATAATAATGGGGGCACATATGGCACAAAAAAAAATACGGCAACTCAGCGAAACTTCGTCCTTAATATTTATCACTTAAAATTAATGTAATTTCAATACACGACAAACAATGTTAATGCAAAAGTTACAAACACAAATAAGGACGAAATTGTGCATCGTGGGTTCAATCACAGCCCTCTTACTTTATCACAACAGTTCAGGAGTGAAGGTTTGGAATTATACACGACACGAAAGATTTAAATAAAATTTTATAACAACAGTTTACCATAATAAATGTGCAGGTTCCATAATGAAGAGATAAATTAAATCAATATTATAAATAATAAACATGATCACTGACTTTGAAAATATTTAGCATAGGACAAAATATTGTTGACAATGACTCCTTACAAAGTTAAACTGCACTTGGTTTTCCATCCTTAATAAACAACTAATATGTGCACAGTATATAAACAATAAACCACCTTACAACACAATAATTAATTGCACTTTCCACACAATACATAATAATAGAGCAGCACTGAGTATATAATACTCAATTAAACAATATTTGAGAAGGTATCCACCACTGACAAACCCAGATGTCCTTTCACCTCCAATGCCCAGCAGTGACTGACAAAACCCACAGTGTAGGCGTGTACCAATGTGTTGGTCCTTTTTTGTAGATATATATCACACACAAATATATATATATATATATATATATATATATATATATATATATATATATATATATATATATATATATATATATATATATATATATATATATATATATATATTAGTTCTGGAACTAGTAAGTGGCTGGGCTGAAGTAAACACTTTGCTGGTTTTTCTTTATTGTAGAAAAATATAGTTTCACAGGTACCGAGTTCAGTTGAGAGTATATTGTACCTTTTTGCTAAGGGAAGTGTCTTAGTGCACCTATAGGTTCACTGGGTAACAAGTGATGTGAGTCGTGAGACGCAAGGAGGAGCGGGCGCGGTATTTGCAAAATCAGCTTGACCTCGCTTAACCTCTGATGAAGTTACAGACCTCAGCATGTATGACCTGCCACACTTTGCCATAAACAGATAAAGTGTACCGGGAATGTTCCCCCCACACACTCATCATTCTGTCACTTTATGTAACTTGCTGACAAAACCCATGACCCTTCAGGCCTTTACACCCTTAATGCATGAACTCCGCACGCTTCCCAGTTGGGCACTGTAAACGCTTCTGCACTTCACCTTGCACAGGATGTAAGGGGTGCCCAATAAACTAGCCCCCTCGTGGGCAATTTGTAATTTAAATCTCTGACATAAACAACTACTGAGTCATGGTTAAATAACTTTGTGAATATCTTGTGAGTTATTGTTAAATAACTTAGTGAATAATTGGATATTATACATTTAAGTATTATACATTTGGGTGAATATTTATATAATACAAATGGTGCTGTTACACTGATGGACTACAAGCTTAACGGCACTAATATAAAACAACTCCTATATTAAACTGCAAAAAAAGTTAAACATACATACATACATATTAGGATAATTTTTATGTATCAAGTACCAGTTTTACTCACAAATACTTTTACAAAATATTTTGCACACATACATCCCGACACTAACGCCAACACCACTCGGAAGGGGAGGGTAACGAGCATCAAAATATTTCGCTATATATATATATATATATATATATATATATATATATATATATATATATATATATATATATATATTTCATAATAATAAAGTACGCGGACTTCTACATACAATCAACACCTCAACTTCGCCAGGATTCAGACCCCGGGCCCTGAGCCCACTTGACTGTGACCAGGGAACGCTACCTCCTGGACCACCAGGATACTAAAAGCAGTCCTAGACTCTATTTATAAGCTACACAAAGCCTGTTCAACGGAAAGCATAACGTGAACCTCAAATAGGGGACTACCTGTATCACGTAGATTCGTCCAGGTAACATTTTGCAAATCCTGTGAAACGAGGGATCACTTCTTATGACTAATTAGCTCAATAAAGCACGCCGGACTTCTACATACACTCCAACATTTTATATATATATATATATATATATATATATATATATATATATATATATATATATATATATATATATATATATATACACACACTAGTGGAATCGCGCCCTCCGGGCGGCTCTTTCGCTAGGCCACGGTAGGACGCCACCTTCCGGGAGGCTCCACATTGTCTCACTGTAGTGCATTAAGGTAGACCACATTTTTGGTTTTGCCATTAGTTGCAAGTATGTACAGATTTTTGCCAGTTCCCACTCTGGAGCATCCAACATAGAACTGTCCATGAGAGAAGCAAGGAAACACCAGGTTTAGGCCAACCATCTTTAGGGACTGTCCCTGGCTTTTGTAGATGGTCATGGCAAAGCTCACTTTAACCGGGAACTGAAGTCGCTTGAACTCAAATGGCAGGTCAGTGGTGATGAGAGGTATCCTTGGTATAAAAACGTCCTCTCCTTTAGCTTTTCCTGTCAGTATTGTAGCTTCCAGTACATGTGGCATCATGTTCTTCACCACCAGTCTTGTGCCATTGCAGAGGATTGGTGGTTCAAGATTTCTTAAGAGCATTATAGGAGTTCCAATCTTGAGAGTGAGGTGGTGAGGAGGCATTCCAGCGGGCTCCAGAGAATTAAGGAATTCTGCAGGGTACTGGACTGCTTGGTCCTGGTCGATTATTGTATCAACAGATTTGAATGAGGTCTCACTGCCTGGAAGCTGTCTGAGTAGAGTCATGTTGATTTCAGCCACTGTTTCATTCTTTGGTGCCAGAATTGCGCGTTCACGCAGCCACTTGTGATCCTTGTAGTGGTGGATAATGTTTGGGTAGACCATGTTAGTGAGCTCAGTTGAGGACTTTACAACATTTCCACATCCTTGAGGAATGATTATTTGTCCTTCTGAATCAACAGGGAAAGTTCCATTCCCAATCTGTAGTAGAAGGTTTGCAAACCGTCCAGCATCCTGATCTCCTTGTAGATGTACTCTCATGTTTGTGGATAGGGTGAGTGTCTGAACACTTCTCCAAAGGTATGATGCCTTGAGGCACGCATTCAGTTCATCAGCTGGAGTGCTTCGAGGAATGACAGGTAGGGTCTGGCGAAAGTCTCCAGCAATGACCATTGTAATGCCACCCATGAGCTGGTCATTTTCTCGTATGTCTTGCAAGGTCCTGTCCAATGCTTCAAACGCTAACTTGTGAGACATAGTGCATTCATCCCAGACTATGAGGCTGCATTTTTCTAAGAGTTTTGCCTTTGCCGATCCTTTTTTGATGTTGCACACTGGATTCTCATTGTGAGCGAGGTTGAGAGGCAGTTTAAAAGTTGAGTGTGCAGTACGTCCTCCTTCTAGTAGTGTTGCAGCAATGCCTGAGGATGCCACAGCAAGAGCAATTTTCCCCTGATGACGTACTTTGGCCAACAGAAGGTTGATCAGGAATGTTTTTCCTGTCCCGCCAGGTGCATCGAGAAAGATCATACCTCCCTGCTCCGCTTGTATCGCTTGCAAGATCTGTTCATAAGCATTTGCTTGATCAGGCACCAGGTGAGGCTCATTTTCTTCAAGAAAATTCACCAGAACTTCAACTGAGTAGTCTGTCTCTCTGAGCAACTCCCTGTTTGCAACTACTGGTTCTTCTCGGTTTGGGGAAGGCAATCCAAAATCAGTCAGGTTTTTTCCGCATAGCTCCATCACTTTGTCTTCCAGCATGATGAGAGCCCTGTTGAACATGTCATCCATGAACTCAATCTCTTGACCAGGATGTTCTCTTCTTGCTTGATGAAGCAGATCCTCTGAAAGACTTTCTTGGTGGTTTTTCCAGAGCTGGCTTGGGTTGGAAAGTCCACATGTAGCAATGATGATGGGAAACAAGTTTCTCATTCTCATTGGCGATTGAGTAGCTGCTGCCTCTTCTAATGTGTCATTCTAGTGACCATCATCTTCCAGTAGCCCAAGGAGATTGCACGCTTCCTGATAGGTTCTGCAGACTTGTCCAATCACTGTCTTAGTGCTGCATATGACGTTGAGCAACGGATGTAGTGCAAAAGTAGTCTCAAACAATAGCATTCAAAGTTGTTGAGGTGAACCGTGTAGACACGTCTCAAAGCATTGCCTGACTTTATCTCTGGATATCCTTCAACATCGAATCCTTGAGCTCTTCTCTGGAACGTTTTCATTGAAGCCTGCCATATGTAGAACTTGGGTACGTTAACATACAGGGGTATTTGAGCACACTCATCTTCCTGTGAAAGCTTCGAGAATGGAGTGAGGGTCGTATCAGCAGGATTTGCCATTTGATTTTGGAGGGACTCTTCTGTGAAGTATACTCTTTGTCCATTTTCCAGGTGAACAGCCAGATGAACTACTGTTGGACATCGTTCGTGTATGGGAAAATTAAAAATTCTCCATAGGGCTTCATTGCTGCATATATAACGGCCCTGCAGAAACTGTGTCACCTCATCATGATTTCCATCCTTTTCCAATGCAAAGATCGCTTGGTCAGAGCCTTTGTTGACGTATTTGCAGACATACTTGATGGACTTGACTGAATTGCAGAACTCCACATTGATGTGCGCATTGAATGCTTTACTCAAAAGAGGATTGTAGGGGACCACCCATTTGTTGTCTACTGTTATTTCACTGTCTGTTCCAGGTCGCAACACTGCTGTAAAACCTCCATCGCCTGGCGCTCTTCTCCTGTACTGAGGACAGCCATCTTCTCCACTCTGAGTATCCTTTATCAGGTCTTTTGGGAAGATTTTGGTGCAACGTCCATCTTTCATGCATGGAGAGTGTCTGTTGAATGGTCCACATGGCCCATGAATCATTTGCTTCTTGATGATCTCATAGAGAACTGGATCTTCTTCTGGATCAGGAAACTCTGCTCGTATGCAGTTGTCAATCATGTTCGGTCGAAGTTTCTCTTTCAGCCAGATCAAGACATGGGCATGTGGTAGACCTCGTTTCTGCCACTCAGTGGAGTACATGTAGCACCGTGTAGGGCCAAGGATTGATGCTTTTGCTCGTAAGTCCATGAGTTTGATCACTTTCTGACGAAATACTCTCGCTGTAATGTCATGCCGATCTTGTCCTTTCTGGCCTTCCATTAGAGCTTCTGTTATGTCAGTCCATACAGGGTTGCATGTAACAGTAATGAAGAGATCTGGTCGTCTATAGTTTCTGACGTAGGTCATGGCATCCTGAGTCTTTTCATGCATGTATCGCGGACCTCCAGTGAAGGAAGAGGGGAGAATCACCAGCTGTCCAACATTACCCACATGTCCATCCCTTGCTACTGCATCTCTCAGATGAATGTAGTCATCAACCCTGAGCTTCTTTTGGTTGAGTCGTATGAAGGTGAGTCTTTCTGTTTCAATTTTGGCATACATGTCCACTACAAACTGGTGGAAGAGGTTCCTTGATCTTAGTATCTGGTTGAAACTGTCTTCTCTGATCATGAATCTGTATGAATAAAAGTCATTGGATGAGACTTTCGTACCTACTTTTGCTGCACCAGTCGCTGGATCTGTGTGAGGAATGTTGAAGTGATATCCGTCTTTACCTTCCAGAAGATGAGAGGATACTGCAGTGCATCATAGGATCGATGTGTCTCTGATATTCTTGTGAGCGACTCGTCTCCCATTTTGAGTATGATGTCTCTTTTCTCAAACTCTTGACCGACAATAAGGATGGCTACTTCATCAACTACAGGAGCATTGAGTCTTCTTTCATGTTCTCCCTTAGGGGTCGTGTCTGCTTTGATCCTGACTTTGTACTCGTCAGAAGGCATGTTTTCCAGGGCATTTTTAAATGACTGTACATACGTGTTGCGCTCATGCAGCATTTCTTGGATAGATAGGACAATGTCATGTCTGACACCTTGAATGTTGCCACACCTGGTAGTAGCCTGTCTTGTGTATAGGATATTTAAGCCGAGGAAGAGTGCATCCCACACAAGTCCTGCTCTGTTAACGAGTTGACAAGTATTTATTGCACAAATTGAAGTAGAAAAGTTTTTTCTTTAAGCAAACCAACCGGACGTTTATACAGATAAATTAAAACTCAACTTGGTTTGGGGGATGTTTACAACACAACTGTTTCCTGGTTTAGCGTTACCCAAAACCATCACGCTGTTACAGGGATTGTTCCCAACATTACTGCTAGTTCTGAGATCACGAAACACTTTAAAGTAAGGAACAGAAACTCTTGATCATTACAGAATTAATGGAAACAGCCACGCTTAAGACTCAAAATGATACCCTTCACTGAAACCCAGCAGGTGCTCGACGTAACTTTAACGTTGATACGACTATGAAATAGTTCTAACGCTGCTAAACTGTTGAATCGATACTGAAACGAAGTACGTTGAAATAAAACACCAATTTCATTTCACCGTCGACTCACCGACTAAACAACGTAATGTGTCGGCTGGGATCAAAATTAGTGTCAGCAACTCATCTCGGTATGATGAATGATCATCCACACATACATCACCGGTTCTCCTGGCGCAAGTTCCAGGATTTTATCTTCCACGGGATGACATTAACAGAAGTTATGGTTCATGCCTTGATGGTATACATTTCACCAACTATCAGTAAATTCAGGACTGCTGCTTTATCTTACATCCACTACAAATGACAGTATTATCCTGCTACTCTATGTTGCAACGATTAATAGTTTAAAGTAAAATACAGTGATTCCTCAAACTAAATAATATTTCGTTTTCATCAGAATTTTCACTAAAACAAAATCAGAAATAAATCTTAGGGATGAAGGAAAAAGCGACTTTGAATTTACGTATGGAACGGCAAGTAGTAGGTAGTAGGCAGCTACCAAACAGGGAGGTACTACTGCCTGGGAAGATATTGGAAGCATAATGTGTTGTCTAATGGTAGACCCTGCTGCCATATGGCATCACGAAAATTGTGACCAAGTCCAAGGCTGCTGATCTATCTTTCTGCCACATTTATACACAATTGTAGGTCCTCAATTGTCTCTCTTACAATTGACAACACAACAAATATAACCGTACTCACTCTTGATCTGTTTTATTCATTCTATTTTATTCTCCTCTGTCAGTTGATATTAATATTGAAGCGGGGCCTTAGAACTTCACCTCGGCGAGGCAAGATCTTCTCTGCTCCCTAGGTACTACATGAACCTGACGATGCTGACCTGTGACCAGGCGAAGGTCATAAGACTGTATCGAGTCACAAGCCGTTCGCGCAAGCAACTAAACCTCCTTGTCCTCAGGAAGTTTTTTGACTCCTTTGGAATTAGGGGGGTGAAAAGGGTCGTCCGCAGACCAGTGAGTGGTGGCCTTATCGTCACCTTCGTGGAATGGGGACAGGCCCAGCAAATAGCCAACATAACATAAATTAACGGGATCCAGATACTAGTGGAAGCTCGCACAGAGGATAACTTGGCGTTGGGAGTCATCTCCCACACCGAGATAGAACACATTGAAAAAAGAAGAACTGGCCGAGCTGATCGGAGACCAGCTCAATAGTCTGAAGCTGACCAGTGCAACTGCACTGGTTACAAAAATTTACAAGCACCGTATTGCTGGGATAGGAGAACATCAGTGAGACCGTATGAAGAAGACAACAAGGTGTTACAAATGCCAGGGTATGGCCATCTGGCAGGGAAGTGTCGAGCTATGGAGGTATGTTGCAGTTGCGGGACGCAGCAACACACCAACTGCTCGGCGGCCACCAAGAAATGCGCAGCTTGTGGTGGCCCTCACTCCTCCTCCGACCAGGGTGTCAAGTGGAGGGAGGTGTAGGGTGGCTAGCTGCGAAGCAAGAAAAACTGCGTTACAAGGAGGCTCTCCTTGTAGTGAAGACAGAAGAAAAGAAGAATCAAGCCCCCAACTGACAGAAAAGAAAAATCAAGACCCCAAGACCACAGAGAAGAAGCCATAATTAAACAAGATCGAAGAAAATGCTTTAGTAACATTAAAATCATCACCGTTTTTAGACGTTTACGAAAATATACCAGAACAAGACCAAGAAGATGAATGCAAATTGAAAAGCAAAAAGAACAAAAGGAAGACGTCCAAAGAAAACGACTAAGGAAAACAACAGCTTCGGCCGAAATAGCCTAAAGGCGAAGTGGCTATTAATCCCAAAAACAAGTACAAGTACAAGGGGCCTTATCGGATGGGTCACACTGGTCGGGAAGGTTGTGGACCCCAAGGCCGACCTGATCATCATCAAACTACTGGGGCCTCAACTAGCGCCACCGGGGTTGCTGGAGGATCGACTTTTTTCACACTTCATTTTTCCAACATTCGCTGCCTGAGATCCAATTTTCCTTCTGTGGAGCACCATCTATTAACCTCTTCCCCCGACCTCTTGCTACTTTCCGAACTTCAACTGACCAAAGCAGCTTCACCCAAGCCTTTTCAAGTCTCTAACTTCAATCTTCATACCTCTTTCCGTTCTAAGGGAGGTGTATGCACCTACTGCAACACAAGTAGGCCTTTATTCTCCCCAAACTAACCTAAGTGTCACCAGCCTGGTCGTCTTCTCTCTACTCTACCCAACAACGTCGGTTAGAGAAGGTACAGAAAAGGGCCTGCAGAATCATGCTCGGCGCAGACTACTCCGGCTACAACAACGCTCTCTCCACCCTGGAAATGCCATCCCTCAGTGACCTCCACCACCAAGCACTAGCAAGGTTTGGCAGTGGACTACTGCACTATCCTCGTCATCGCCACCTCCATCGGCAGCCTGCCCACCTCGCGCAGTCTGCCACTACAACAAACTTCAATAAGGATGCGGAAGATATAAGAATAGCACCATCCATCTATTTTTAAAATAATAAAATCTCCTGATTTATGTACTGTACAGCCCTGTATGTGTATTCAGCATATCATTATGTCTAAATCAAATGTAGTTTGTATATTTTCAGCCACCAGCTGATACTCTATTAATAAACCGTTTATTATTATTATTATTATTATTATTATTATTATTATTATTATTATTATTATTATTATTATTATTATTATTATTATTATTATTATTATTATTATTATTATTATTATTATTATTATTATTATTATTATTATTTTAAGTACACCTATAGCTCGACTCAGGGATCTTGAATCGTCCCTTTATGATGTTTTCTGGCTCAAAATATCTCTGCCAACTATGACTATTTTTTTTGTTCCCTATGCTGTTCTCCCAACTCTACCAACTATTTGGAACTCTTTGACTATCTCACTTCTTGCCATGGGTCGTTTCTATCCACCCACCCCAACACCGAGATCCTCTACCTAGGGGATTTCAATGTACATCACAGAGAGTGGCTTGACTCTGCAAGGGATGACCCAGGTGGAGCTGAGGCAGTCTCATTTTCCTTACTTAATGATTTGGAACAAAATATTTAATAATCAAACACCCTACACGTGTTCCAGAACGACACGAAGATATACTGTCGTCTCCTGCTGCTGCATCTTTGGACATTTTTATGATGGTCAATAATTCATCTGCTGTGACCGGGGATAAGAACAGCTCATTTTACTGTCTGTTTTGCAGGTAGGCTCTAAATTCCTCATGGTGATCAGGGATGCTCTCTGCAAGATTTTTGCCAACATTGATAAATATTCATTGAGGTGGTTGGCAATGAGGAAGGGCTCCGTTACAACTGAATCATTTATCATAGAAGCTGAGTGGGGGGGCCGAAGGCTGAGTGTTCCTGTTCTGAATAGAATTTATGATATTCCAGGTTTTCTTACTGTTGCCTGATGCTGATTGGAGCTTATTTGTATAATAGCTACGTCTGGCATTTCTAACTGTTTGAGTTACTCTATTTCTGATACTTCGATAAGCATCACCGAAAGTTATGGGTCTTTTTGCAAATTTGCTTTGGAGTTTGTGTTTTTCTTTTATCATTGCCTTGATTTCACTTGTGATATAAGGTTTGGAAATGAATACAGAAGGTGTCTGCTTCTGATTTTAATGGATCAAGGTTGAAATTTCCTGTAATGTAGCAAATTTATCAAGAAAGTTCCTTACATTAGTGTGGGGTCTTCTGTAGATTACTCCTACTAGGGTATTTCGTGTGTCGTTACGTAATTCAGTGAAAACACTCTCCATGTACTCCTCCTGAACCTTCAAATCATCTCTTACAGAAGTGTCATACTTGATATCAACATTTAGTATGACACCACCACTGTGTCGTGACGTGTTGACGCAGTGTATATTATAATTAGTGATGTTATACAAGTGTTCAATATCGTTAGTCAGTTTAGTCTCACAGAACCCAAGTACATTTTACACTTACAAGTTAATTATAATTATCTTTATTATAATCCTTCTCGGCCGTTGGTTACCAGTCCCAATGAATGGGATTATGGTATTAATTCATTTGTGAAAGACAACATGAACCAACTAACCTAACATAACCAAAATAATCCAACGTAACCTAATTAAAAATAACCGATACTTCAAGTATTTCATCGGCTACATTTAAAAAAAAGAAAAGAAAACTTGACGTGATAGAGTAAAGCTAACTTTAGATTCATATTCAACATATTGTTATGCCGAGGCATAATTTAGTATTATAGGCCCGAATTAGTGCTTAGTAAAGAAAACTACAGTTCACAAATGTGTTTTTGTGACTGTTAAATCTACC